GCGAAAACAGTGTCCTGTGTACTCTTTGGGGTTTGGTAATTTCAAGTAAGTGGCAATTTCTCGCGGCATACCACCGATTTTATTTATACCTATCAYATGCCTATAAGGTTTTCCATTGCAATATTTGTAGAAGAATCTTTGGAAATTGAAATTAACCGGACGACTGTTTGTGTATTTTCTGACAATGTTTAAATGTTCAGTTAGTATAAAAGACCTTGATTTTCGTGATCTAGAAGCGGGTAGAGTGACCAAAATTTTACTACCCATATCTTCGACATTGTCAGTTTTTAAATTGACAAGTTCGTCGATCCGACATCCACCGGCAATTCCGAAAATTAACACAACCTAGAATTGAAATTAAGTATTTTGGTGCAAAACAAATAAGTCTTACTTTCGTTGATAGATAARTATCGTCAGGGGCTTCCAATAAGAATTTTTGGATGTCGTCTTTTTTAAAGACTTTCGTTTTCTTCGGTTTGTAACCCTCGGCTTGGTCTTTTAAAAAAGCTCGCAGTTGGGTGTATTCTGCTATATTTAGGTTGTTTTTTTCATTTATTGTAGCTTTTAACATTGAGTAAGTTGACCACAGAAATGAAGGCGTTTTTTTTTTCGATAAATGGATAAAGTACGTTAATAATTCATTTTCTGTGAATGATGACATGTTATTTTCCCTCCGGTAATCCATAAATCGGCGATAAGTGACTTCGTAAATTTTCCTTGWTTTTTCCGGAAGTGAATTAAAATCTAGGGTTTTTCGGTCTTTAATGACGGGTAACACGACTTCTTCAACTTCATCAACATCCATTGTACTGCATGGAAAATACTTCCTGTGGGTCAAAAAGGGTAATTTTTTTTATAAAATTTGTAAAATTATTTGGTGAATCGTTTAATATTTTAAATAATCTTTTTATTGCAAAAATCTTGCAGAAAAGWGCACAAAACGTTACGGGGACAAATTTGAAAAATTACGATTTTTTTCAGTTTAGTAAATCGTAAAAATCGTAAAAAACTTTACAATTTTTACTTTTCAATGCCGATTATGGCAAAACTATCGGAAAAAGTCCGACAACATCGTAATCAGCGTAAAAAATGTATGAATGGCACCACTTTCAAGTCGATATGTTACAAAAAAAAGCAAAATTTGCAATAGTCTAGAAGTTATAGTCGAATTTGGACTTTATCAGCAATTTTCTCGATAATTATTTATCGCAGATCACTGATATTTTTTGTAAGTAATAGAAAATTAAATTTTTTTTCCAAAGGTACTAAACCTAAGGGGCTATCACTAATGATTCCGGAGTTATTGACGATTGACTCCGGGTATCGAAAATCGACCAAAATTTTGTCACAAATTTAAAAATTGAAAACTTCAAAATTGATCGAAATGCTCATTGCATAGAACGTCGTGAAAACACAAAAATTAAAAAAAAAATAAAATTTTATAAGAATATATTAGACTAGAGCACAAAGTCGAAGATCGACCAAAATTTCGACAAAAATCAAAAAATTGAAAACCTCAAAATTGATCCAAATACACTTCTAGAGGTCCAAAAGTTCATAAAACGTTGTGGAAACACAAAAAATAAATTTTGTGTTTGAATAGTTATATTGGTTTAAAGCAGAAACACTGGCCGGGGGCACAGTGGCGCAGGGCAATCTTTAAAACATGTACCTACATAAGCGTAATAGTATGAATAAGTAAATAAAAGGTAAGTGTGACAWTAATAAAAATAAAGAAATATATTTTTTATTCTTTATTCAACTAAGATAGTGGTTAAGTGTAATAAATTTCTTTTTTAAGTCCCACCAGAAATTTCGTAAGTTTGGCAACTTTGACCTTCAAGAATATCCCAATTTCCTAGCATATTTAACACTTTTGCAATAATTCAAACAGGAAAAAATATCGAATTTCTTGAGTCTTATGTATAAGTTCAAAGAAGGCTAATTTTTGAAGAAAAAAGTGTGTTTTATAACAATTTTATTAAAATCAATAATTACAAAATTGTAAATAAGAATAATAATTTAATACGTATTTACAGAAAAACATAAAAATATGAGTAACACTTCGTCCTAAGGAAAAACTTCTTCTTTTATATCAACTTTGCACTCTAAAGGATCACCAAGAGGATCGCCGTCAGAGGACGCAGTCGACACAAATACAACTTCTTTATGTGTTTCTACGGAATTTTCCTCGTTTTCATCCACTGTAGGAGATTTCGCGCCCCTTAACATCTTCAACTGTAAAACATCACCTAGTAACGAGGCAGTTCTCCTATAGCAATGCCCTGTGAAGTTCTCCGGATTTTTCAATTTCAAAAAAGTTGCAATTTTTTTGGGAAACATTGAAACTGTGTTATGARCAAAAGYCTSTMTTGTCATTTTYTTYTGTCTTATTTGCATAAACAGTCTGTTATTGTCGATATTCTGTCGCAAATCTATACAYTAATGTTTCAATATAGTGACCCACTCGGGATTGGAAATAAAAAATGTTGGTGCGTCCGGAATGGAAACAATGACTTTGTCTTTATCCAAAAAATGCAAATAATCAGTACTCATTTTAAAAAGTTGGTCGGCTCGGCAAGCGCCTGACACCCCAAGTATCAAAGCCACCTAGAAATGTCCAAAATAATTCTTTTACTCGTAAATTAAAACCTAACTACTTTTTGGGGGAGAAATTCCATGGGTGCGTCCTTCAAAAATCTGTCAATGTCGTTTTTAGTAAAAGTACTCGACTTTTTGGGTTTGTAACCCACACTTTGTTTTTTGAGAAAAGCTTTCACTCTTGAAAATTTTGAAATGTCAGTGTTTTCCCTGATGCCCATTGTTGATCTCAACATAGAGTACGTGGCCCATAAAGTTGACGGCGTTTTATCTTTAGCCAAATCGATGAAATAAGCAAGTAAAACACTTTCTAGATTGACATTATGGATTCGTTGAGTACAACACCAGTCTTTGTACGCCCTGTAGGACTTTTCGTAGCGACTTTTACTCTTCTCTGGTAGGAAATTCTCGACTGCTGTGGTGGTTTTCTCAGGTGGAGAACACTGCTCCATTTCACTGTCACTTTCAACACAATAATTGTCTTAGTACCACAATTATTCTCATAAAATGTCAAAAACGCACAAATAACTGATATTTCATTACAAATAAAAAGTGGAAATTTCGTTATAGCCTCGCGCTTTACTTGACCTCGAGGATTCGCCTCTCGGTCATATAACCCAGGCCGTGAGGTAACAATTTCCCACATCGATTGTAATATAACTTACTCTTCAACGTGCGCTATGTTGTCATCTTGGCTCACAAAATTCTCCCAAAACGTTTCATTTTGACCAAAAACATTCATCATTGACTTATCATCAATACTACTCAGCTTCTCTTCGTCAAACTTTTCGGTAATTAAATCACCTAAATCAAAATTTAATCACTATTTTTTGTTAATATGCAGTGTCCTAAAAAAACGTTAAAAGATCTGGGGGGGGGGGCAATTTTGGGACACCCTACATAGTGATTTTTTAAATTTATCGCTCTAACTTCCTTATGAGGCGTTTCCGGAGATAGATCCATAGGAACTTTTTTTCTATCTTGACCTAAGGTATCACCCCCCAGAATCTTTTAATGTTTTTTTCGGACACCCTATATAAGTATTACTTCTCGAAATTGGGCCTTTCTCAAGTTTATATTGCTCCAACTCTTTATCTTTTTTTTGGAGTAAATTAATTAACATATTTTGACGTTCCTCTAAGTGTTTCACTGTTTGAATCAATGGCATTGTAATTTCTTTGAAAAACTAAAAAAATATTTAAGCTTGTGTGTTTACTTACACCAATCACCACATACGGTTTCTGATGTCGATTTTCGTAAATTAAATTTGAACTGTGTTATGTCTCCCGACTTTATTGAGTCTAAGAGCAGATGGAGCCCCTCATCAGTTTCTAATATTTCAATGTTAATGGGGCCAGAAATTTTATTAATGGTCTCGATCACTTCACACACAACTTCATCTACTTTAATGTCAAACAAGGGGTTGGCTTCCTGGAATTTATAAAAATAAAAATATATTGCTTAGACTTGATTGTTACATACTTGAAACTGATGCAAAAGTTCATGTTTTGCAATGTCTTGCACCCAAATATTTTGAAAATCAGTCAGGACGAGTCTGAGATTGTCAATTTCGACTATTTTGATCATGTACGAATTGGTCTCATATTGGAATGTTTTCCACATTTTTTGTAGGATTTTTTTTATCAATGTTTACTTTTTTCACAAGAACCTAACCTCACCTTTAGAAATATCAAGCCTACTTTTTTTCCACGTAACTATTCGTAGTTATTTTGTCGAATAAACTATTCGACCTACTCATCGAAATGCCAAGAGTTGTAAAATTTTAACAATCTTTTAGAATTCGGACACTATTTCCAAAAATAAGTTAAAAATCTTCTTCATTGATTAAAAGTTTCGCAAATTTAATTTTACATTGCATGTGCAGTAGCATAAAAACTCAAAAAAAACTATTTTGAATGGTAGTTGTTTTGTCCAAAAAAAATGATTTTTAGTCTTACTTGAATGTAATTTTTTTAGAGATCCACATATTTGCAGAAATAAGTTAAAGATGCTTAATATTTGTACTAAAATCTATTATTAGTTGTTACTATAATCTTCACAGGTGTTCCAGAAATACCTAGTATAGCGACGATTTTTAATTTATTTTATAGGGTAAATCTGGGAGAAATGGACCACCGGGAGAAATAGACTTATATATTTTTGTGTATTTAAAACTTTCGAATTGTATAAAAATGAGAGATCTTTCTGGAACACTTTGAAAAGAAGTTGCTCAGTAATATGCATAGTTGCGAAGCTTG